GTTAGGATAAAGGTCCTGTACTTATACAACGACCAGTGACTTATAGCAATATATATGGATATAGACGATGGAAAAAGACTAGAAAATTATTTTCATTATTACCAGTGTGCTATACGGATCGAGCAGCTTTAGAAATGACCTTTTCCTGCCCTTGTAGACTAGCCCGGCCAGTCAAACCAATAACAATTATTAGCAGTGAAAGTAGTTTTGCTCCAAAAATGGTGAAGAAAAGCATTGTAGACTATGTTAGCGTAGACTATTTTGGTGCTAATAAGACGAGATGAATGTCATATAGCTTCTGACCATTCTTAGCGAGAATACATAGGTGTATCTTGTATTATCGATAACCGTGACGGTTTTACAAGTTAGGTACAGCTTAATAGTGCAAATAAATAGAGAGGGCTTTCTTTTCCCAATGATGAAAAAAAGCATTCTATATTCCGAACTGTAATTTCCTTTTTCTGCATTCTTATATATTATAAATTACAATAAAAAGAAGCATAATTAGTTAACAAAGTAATAAAGAAAGTTAATGAAGAAAATTACGAGAAGAAAATTTCATGATTATTATAGTTTATATTTATATTTATATCCTATCTACTTTTTTCGAGATATATTTTAATAATAAACAGCCAGAAAAAAAAGAATATTTTATAAAGTAAAGATGATAAAAGCTGATAAAATTAAAGCCGATAAAGTTCTAAATTTTTTAGTCTCTTTTTAGTTATTGTAAAAAGATTATTTGATTTAATATTTTACAAGAGAGAAATATAATTTAAAAAAATGAGAATATGAATCAATAAAAGAATACAAAGATTTGTTCTTTTGACGGTTCTCAGAAAATTTAAATGCTTAAAATTGAAAATATAAAAAAATATCGCTTATTTTGATAATTGTGAAATCATTTTTTAAAATCATTTTTTGGTCGAAAAATTTAACGAATTCCTCTATCAATGAAGAAGAGATTTGTTGAAAGGAATGGACAAACCTATAGAAGAAACCATTTGTTACAGTCACTTTAAAATGCGACAAGGTAGCTTATAAAGCGACCTTAAATGTTTGAAAAGTTTTTAAGAATACACAGAAATGAATTTAATAAAAATTCGATTAGCAATCGCTCCATTATTAAACTTTTCAATATCGAATTTAAGAAAAATTCCTTACGAAATATACAATTTTCGCCTTATGTAGCAGAAACAATGGTAGAATATCGATAGCGTTTCACTACGGGTGGAGAAGGTGCAATTCTTTAAATTAAAGAATTGTATAAAATGAAATATAAAATATTGTAGAATTTTTATTGTAGAATTTTTGAAAAAAATATAAGTATTCCTCGTTATACAATGAGCACTGTGCCAAAAATAAATATAATAATTCATTTTAATACGTTATTTATTAATTATCTGAATATCTCCCTTATACCAAATAATCAAACGGAAGCCGAATTTGCTCTTCAGATAACCACTTAAAATGGAGCCTTCTGGGCGATGATGCTTCTATGGAATCGCAGCGAAATCTGCGATCTAGTGTAATGTGCATTATCAATGAGATTAGAGGAAACATTATTCTGTCTTTGACTGATTATGCCTGAGTGAGTCGAATGGATATAACTCATAGGATGCCATCCATCTTTGTTCAAACGCCATCTATATAGAGCTGTTTGGCCACGTTCACCAGTGCTTATTCGAGAATTGATTTCTTACTGCCTTTTAAAGTAAAGTAAAGTAAAGTGATGGTGCCGAGCAAATATATGAAGTACCAATCGAGAACTCGATTAATCAACCAGAAAAGATTTCGAATCAATTGGCACAATATTCGTGATAAAAACAGTTACGAATCGCCAAAGCCATTTTTCTGATTTCTTGAATTTGGCATTTAACCTTGCATAGACTCGCATCAGTGAATAAATATCAAAGTTCGGTTGTTAAATTCTTGTTGCTCCAATCCTACTCGTCCTCTCATAACATTGTGCTGAAGGCTTACTGAAACCTTTCTGGCGCCTTTGCTGATTTGCCGATTTGCTGATTTATAATGGCGATTCTTTTTTTTGAATGAAAAAAATTAAAAACTTTTACATATTTACAATTTGCAATTTTTTCACAATTAAATGCAAAACCATTTATTTCAATAAATAAAGGAAATAATTCGATAGATGAAAATCCGAATGAAATTGTTAAATGATAAAAAAATGAAAATGCGAGAATAAAATAAAATCTGATTGGAAAAGAATGGGAAAAAAGAAAATTCACAATTCACAATTAAGAATGTTTTAAAAAAGAAAGCCTTAAACAGTATTTTATCTTCGAACAGCCCTATGAATGATAATTTCATAAATTACGGTTTCTCTTGTAAGGTTTCTTTTTTATTTTGTACAATCCTTTTTCATCTCAAAATTGGCTAAGACTATCGGTCCACAGATTATTATCGATCAAATCAATTTTTCGCACAAATCTATTTGCTAATATTTCTTTCGAATCGACCAAATACTTTCAAATTTGTAATATTTTAAAAGCAGTGAAATTCCAAATTTATTTCGCTTATATAAAATCATATTAAAATTATTGTTATTAAAAAATTTTTATATTTCATATTTTCTTTATCCGTTTTTTTGAACTAATATTTCCAAGTTAAAAAGAAAAATTACTAAATTCGTTGGAACTCATTAATATTTTTTAAAATATTATAATGATATATTAATATTTATTAAAATATTAAAACCGTGATTTTTCCATTGCATTTTCATTTGCAATAAATATGCCACAAATAGTCTAACATTTTGTTCTATTTTATTTTAATTATTTCAGCTTGTGGACCCATTAGTCAGGTCAACTGCAAAGTGCACGTCAAATGATAATTTCAAAGAACGAATCATTTGTCCAATTCATCAAATTTTTGGTTATTTCAGTGCATCGACCGCTTTTTTCAACATATCTATGCATATGTTGACATTGCAGAACAAATTTCCAACGTTTGCTCGTAAAAGGACAGTCTTTTGTCAATAATAATCAGCTCCATATTTCGTCGACAAAAATGTCCTTCTTGTATGCATACTACTTTATAGAATATTTTGTTCAGGCTACACGTTCCAGCTCAAAAGCACCTCATTTCTATTTCTTTCCTCTAAAAATAGTGCCTTAAAAGCTTCAGTAATAGACTATTAATTTTCAGGCATGATTTCTGGCTCCGCTAACTATTCAGATAAGATCTCATCACTCAATCATAGCCACTCAAAGATTCAGGGATTCATGCTATGGCTTCTACACCAGCACCTTTCAGATTTCACTTTAAATGACCAAATTTTCATTTGCAAATAAAAAACAAGCCTTACACATAACAAGCCTTCCTTTGATTTTTAGCACATTTTTTGATGCATTCTTTTTCACTCAGATTTGTAAATTTTTTTATATTAATTTTATATCACTTAATAATTATGTTAATTTCATTCGGATTTCCATCTATCGAATTCTTTTCTTCTTATCGCAATGCTATGAGAGGACCGATAAGATTGAAGTAACTGCACTTTATCACTGGATAATTGATGGAAGTCATGAATGCTAGCACAATGTTAAACGACAAATTCAGAAAAAACGACTTTCGCGAATCGAAAATTTTTTTAACATTAATATTGTGATATACTAATTCATTTATTTACATAACTTGCCTCCGTCTTTTTCGAAATTATTGGCTTCCTTATCGATTTTGACGTCCACAGCAATGAATGGTTTTGCTCCTGTGATTCAACCTAGCCCAGCCAAATCAAACTAAAAGAACGCTTCGCGTGAAAGATGGTTTCATATAAATTTCATTATTTTCACAGAAACGGAAATCTTTTATTTGTAAAATGTTTGTCATCATTTATAAAGAAGTTCATTTTCAAATTTACAAATAAAACTTGTGTAACCAAATTCAAATAAATTCAAATAATCGCATTTAATTTTTTTATGAAAGAAAGAAAATTCATTTAAATCACTATTCTCGAATTTAGAATTATATATTAATATTTTTCATATTTTATTTGATATTACCATCAGAAATACAGATAATTTTTAAATTTATTATCAGAAAAAGAAGGAGCAAACTAAGGAGAAACACTTTTTCTGTATTGTATATACGAATATGGCTGCTTTGTTTTGGCCTGAAAATAACTGAATAGTCTGAAAAAAAGAAATATTTCGCATTCAGAATGAATTCCACTTTAAAAATATTCGATAATACGGTGAGGGGGGGGGGGGGGGGGGGGGAGGTAGGAATTTTTTTCAATATATAATGAGATAAAGCGCTTCAATTAATTAAATAGAATGAGATCGTCGTAATAATTAAGTTTCTACTAAATAAGGCGAAAAGCCTTCCTTTTTTTTTATATTAGTCATGAACTCAAAATTTGGTCCAATTATCAGCACACTGTGTGGCATCTATTGAATTTCACCATGAAATGACATCAGCAGCATATTACAAATCTATTATATTAGATTACGGAGTAAATTGCACAAACAAAGGGTATAATTCCCACCATCCAATCCAATGTTTAATACCACAGGAAGGGAAAAATACCAGTTTTCGCATGCAGAAAGGAATTGTCTTGGAGGATTTGTCACAGAGTATATATTTAAAAAATATTTCGATTCACCAAATCACCAACAATTATTTTATTGCAGCTGTTTAATTCCTATCCTATTCCAAATCCCGAATTTTTAAACAATGATTCATGGAAGTTTAGCTATTGCGCAATAAAATGTGACCTGATGAGCATGATTTTTCTTCACAGATCTTTCTCGTATAATGCATCGTCCATCTTTTTCCGTATATTCTTTGTTGGCACATTTGCATTGCTGAATGCATATTTCAGGAGAATCATCGATGTAAATCAATCGTTTAATAGTTTTGTAGACCATATTATCACCACACGTCTGACCTGTTAACGTGCAAAATAGGTCGCGAACTCGCTCGCAAGATCGTCCAGCGTAATTTGAGTGAGTCTTAGAAATCTGAAATTGCATGTTTTATTACATAACTACAGAAATTTCGAAAATATTATTATATAAAAAATAAGATTTAATGAAAACTTCAACTTCACAACTTTTCATTTATAAAAGCCTTAAATTTATCCAATGTTTCAATTTCAGTTTCTGCGTTAACTAAAACATAAATTCTTGATTTCCATGAGAAATAAAGAACGATTGCAAATTTTTTACCTTTTGGATAGTTGGTTGAACGGGAAACTGTGAACGTTCGGTGATAGATCGTTGAGATAAAGCTGGTGACATATTTTCATTTCCTTTCGCAGAAAGGATGCATTGACCATTTGCTTTGACATATTCTTCACTCATACAAGTACACTTTTGAAAGCAAACTACAGTGCCATTCTTTTTAAGCAATTTACCGATATTATTAAATATCATATTGGTACCGCAAATTTTACCAGTCAATGAACACGGAGCATTGAATATTTCTTCATCAAGTGCACACACTCTTCCCGCGCAGTGTTTAGGCAATATTTCACCATCAAACTGAAAAATTGATAAAACCGAACCTCTTTTTGGTCCGCTTAGCACTTTTTGTATTCTCTAACTATTGACCTATTTTGTTTAATTGTAATGAGTTTCTAAAATTATCATTCAATAATAAATTTATAATAATTATGAATAGTTAACTGTGCTAAATAATCGAAACTCTGATATCAGTAAGAAGGACCTCAGTTTCCTTTCGCATCGGAACACTCTTTTCTTTAATGCATTGTCCACCTATTTTCGTGTATTCATTACTGTCGCAAGTGCACTGTTGAATGCACATCTTATATGATGATATACCAACTTTCATGCGTAAAGGCCCAACTATGGTCCTAAAAACCATATTTGGTCCACATTTCTGGTCTGTCAATGAGCACAGAGTATCAGTGATTATTTCGTCAAGTCTACAGATTCTTCCACTGCAAACCTTTGGTGTTGGCACTTCAGCAGGGGTCTGAAAATTAATTGAAATAATACTCTTATTTTGAAATAATAATACTTTGACCGAACCTTCAGATTTGCAAATAAATATTTATGTTTTCAAATATTCAACCTCGGTTAATTTTGTGAATTGTTGCTCAATCCCACTTAATTTTTGATGATGGAAACAACGCTTTTAATGCTTTAAATTGCTGTTGATATCTAGTACCATTAAAGAAAATCCAATTTCGATGAACTTTTTGTTAGTGCCAAATCCATCTGATCGCGATATACTGCTGAAGAAATTTCTAAAACTACTACTGTTATGAGAATTGTAAAATTTCACCTTTTGGGCAGTTATTTGAGCGGAAAATTCTTTGGTGACAAATCGTTGAGTTGAAGTTGGTGTTACTTTTTCAGTTCCTTTAAATAAATTTTCAACCGAAAGCTAAAAATGGTTAAAAAATTATTTTTGCTATCACTAAGCGTTTGATGCTTTTCATTGCGGAAATTGATATACCCCTCTTTATCGAAATGAACTTTTAATGCATCGANAAGAAGGACCTCAGTTTCCTTTCGCATCGGAACACTCTTTTCTTTAATGCATTGTCCACCTATTTTCGTGTATTCATTACTGTCGCAAGTGCACTGTTGAATGCACATCTTATATGATGATATACCAACTTTCATGCGTAAAGGCCCAACTATGGTCCTAAAAACCATATTTGGTCCACATTTCTGGTCTGTCAATGAGCACAGAGTATCGGTGATTATTTCGTCAAGTCTACAGATTCTTCCACTGCAAACCTTTGGTGTTGGCACTTCAGCAGGGGTCTGAAAATTAATTGAAATAATACTCTAATTTTTTCTGACTGAATCTTCCACAGCTTCGCCAATAAATTTTTATTTTTTCAAACGTTTAATTTACATTTTTTTAATTTTTTTTTAATAGAAGGAATATTTCCTTCAAAAACTATGGAACTGGTATTGTCATATAGGGAAAAAAGAGCAAGGCTGCAAAGAAAGATTTATAATGAGTGCATGGAACATTAGAAGCTTAGACTCAGGACGGTTGAGCTCGGTGGTAAATGGCTACAAATTGGCATCTTTGGCATCAAAGAATTGTAATGGGTTGGAATCGAGTGTAATTTATTGTTTATGATAAAAAACCTAAGAAGAAACATTGTTATTATAGTTCTAAAAGATGGAAGAACCAAGTTCAAATCGAAATCGACAGCATAAACATAAAGTAGTTGCTAACAATGGGCGATAGAAATGCCATAGTTGGAAACAGAAAAAAGAATGTTTGTTGGTTTGTACGGATTAGGATCGACTTATCAATTTCTACCGTTTTCTTCTAAAATTCATACAACCAACACTAGCCTCTATACGTCCGATGCTAAGGGGTTGGATTCCTCAAAATCGATATAAATAAAACGAAAGTATTTTCGTTTTAAATACAAGATACTGATAAAAATACCTATTTTTATCAATTGCGGAAGTGGAAGTGCTGGATTTTAAATACCTTGGATCCACTCTTACCAGCCTAACCAGCAATGGTGAGAGCTGTTAGAGGAAGAAGAAGAGGTTCGATTTCCTGAAGGAGTAAACCTGCACAAAAATCCGAGTGATGCTGGCGATCACAAGTTTTCGATCGCCAAGGAACTCTCTCATATATCGCCCAATGCGACAGGCCAGTAGAGCGAGTTTAACCAGTAGTGGTGAGGACTCTTAAATAAAAGCCTCTATACATAGTATAGCCTCAATAAGCGTAGCCTGCAGAAAAATTCCTCAAATGATAACTGTTTTGCATTTTATGCCTCAGAGAATTCATTCTAATCCATCTGAATGTAAAATGGTTAGTTTTGTTGCATGCACTATTTTCTAACATAAAATCACACAAAGCTAAAATTGCTTTATTGAATGGCTGTTGATGTACTGAACTCCTAATGAAAACCCATTTTCGATGAACTTTTTGTTAGTGCCAAATCCATCTGATCGCGATATACTGCTGAAGAAATTTCTAAAACTACTACTGTTATGAGAATTGTAAAATTTCACCTTTTGGGCAGTTATTTGAGCGGAAAATTCTTTGGTGACAAATCGTTGAGTTGAAGTTGGTGTTACTTTTTCAGTTCCTTTAAATAAATTTTCAACCGAAAGCTAAAAATGGTTAAAAAATTATTTTTGCTATCACTAAGCGTTTGATGCTTTTCATTGCGGAAATTGATATACCCCTCTTTATCGAAATGAACTTTTAATGCATCGAGACAATCTTAAAAGAATTTTTGATCATAAATTTCAAAATCATAAAAAAAATTTGGCCATAGTTCAGTATATTGTGGCAAAAAAATCGACACAACAAAAACCTCAGCTTCAATTCGCGTCGCAGTATCGTTCTTTTCAATGCATTGTCCATCTTTTTTTTCATACTGTTCACTAATGCATGCGCATTCCTGAACGCATATTAGTTCAGATGATACGTCGTCAGTGTATTTCATTTTGTCCACAGTTCTGTAGATCATGTTATGACCACATTTGCGACCAGTCTGTACGCAAAATGGGTCATAAATCCTTGCACATGATTGTCCAATACAGCATAAAATGGCCTAATGAGATGATAAAAATTAAGGTTCAGTTAAGGCGAAAGAAAATATAAAAGTGACTTTGACAATTGTTTCTTAATTTTTTAAAAAAACTTAGATAACCGAAAGCTTTCGTTAATTAAACAGTAAATAGGCAAAATGTGTTAGTCTTTTCCTTAAAATAATGTTATAACATTACTAAAAAACGAAGCCTATAAAAAGAAATAGAAATTTTACCAGAGTAACCGTCGGAATAATCATAGTTCTAACTGAGGGTAATTGAGAGTGATAATTCTAAATGAGAATGACTGAGAAAAACTGTTGTGCTCTTCCAATTTTATACTGAATTTTTAATTAATTCCACCCAAAAATACATCGCTATCACATGGACAATTTTCGGTGAATATTTCATAAAATATTTGCAGGTACGCTTGGAAATGAAGATTGACTTCACAGAACACTGCAATCTTAATTTTTATAAAAAATTTTATGGAATTTAAAAATGATTTAAAAATGATTCTAAAAAAATCAAAGAGAATCGGAAAATAAAAAATAGAATAAATTTTCTCATCATTATATCCCGAATTTTTAAGTGCCGAATCTATATTTTTATTTTTGCAAAATACTTGCAATTTACCATTTTGCTGTTTCCTATTATATTGTTTAATTAGTAATATTAAAAATAAGTTCTAAGAATATAAAGAAAACATAAGAAAAGAAAAAATAAGCCTTGAAAAGTTGGAAATTTATTTTATATCTGCTCGGATTAACTATTTTCTAAATGCTAAACAAATCGTAAGGTTATACATATTTGGTTGGTACTTCTATATGAATGGATAATTAGTGAATAAAAATAATAACATTTTTGTTAAGAAATCTCTAAATTTTATCTAAATTTTCTTATGTTGTGATAATTACATTTGATAACCTTTTATGTTATCAATTCTATTAGTGGTTGCAGAAATGAAAAATTTTTTATGCATAATTTTTAATTTCTCATAATTTCTCATTTAATAAAATCATTATTAAATGAGAAATTTGAATTAAATATGGTTGTGTCACAATTATAATGGTATGATGCTTGTTCAGTGAAATGAACTATGATGAATGTCGATTTTTGAAGTAATTTTGAAAGTACTTTGGTTGATTTGCCGTTGTATTTTTATAAATCGGCAGTTATTTCAATAGAATATTTTAAAAATAAATCGTATTTTAAAATTAAAATTAATCGCTAATCTTCCCATTTGTAAAGCACTCATAATTTCCAAAGATTCTGGCGTTCTGCTTACTCATCGAACAAACTTGTCTTTCAAAAAACTGTGTTATATTGTCGATCCATTTAAACTTCTATTTCGTAGTGGCAAAATTTGCCTGGTGTGGCAAACCAGCCACAGCGAATCTAACCAGGAAAGGAAGTGCTTTTATAAAATGCTTTGCAACGATTCTTTTGAAAGAATTTCCAAGCCAACAGCTTTTCAAACTAAATGGTTACTTCAGCTATTACAATCTTTCTATAATAAAATGTGACAATAAAGTTCATTTAACTGTTTTCTGGAATAATATCGCAGAAATTTCACTATTTTGAATTAAATTATACTTTTGTTACATAATAATTATTGAACAATAATCATTGGTCCTAAAACTTTCTATTCCAGTAAAGTTTCGGATTATTATTGATAAAATTATGCTGAAAGTCGAGATTTGTGATTTCCAACACTCATTACATTATTATTAGAATTGATTAATAATTTGCCTATTTTCTTAGTTTTTCAAAATTTTACTTCGAAATTTTCACAATTTTTTCGACTTTATGATTAGTTTAAAATAATGTAAAAAACTAAAGAGACAATTATCTTTAATTCATAAAAAATATTAGAGTATTTGTAAAACAAGAAAGTTTTACAATGAACGTCAAATATTAATTGATAATTCGGGAGCAGCAAAATTTAATTTACCACTAAATAATCGCTGTTTTAATAAAATTTTAGAATTATACTTAGTAAGAAAATAAAAAAATGTCAAAATGAAAGAAATTATTAAGATTCGATGAAATATGGATAAAGCAATTTTAGCCAATCATAAAATTACAAAAAATTATAAAAAATTTATTTTACTAAAGGCTACTACGAGTTCTGAAGGTAAAGCGATGGAAGCCATGCTAATTATGGCAATGTGAATGTGGTAAAAATGACTGAGAAAAGGATTTTTGTGAATGAATTATGACTGTTATAATAACTGTAATGCTATGCTATTTAAGATATATTTTGTAGATTCGACTCATATCGATTAAATTTTTGTCTAAATCTATCAAATACATTAATTTATTTTTTATAAATTCTTTTATTTATTTATTGTTCTTTATTATTATTCATTATTTATTTAATTTTTATTATTTAATTTAATCGTTATCAAATTCATATTCTTCTTGTTTGAGTAAATAAACTTTTGCATATTTTCAAGTGAGATTTGGTTCGTATTAATATTTTAATAAAAATTAATTATTAATAAACCCCAAAAAATTTAGTAAATTTAGTAAATTTAATAAATAATTATTTTTTATTGCACTTGGAAATGCTAGTTTAAAAAAGTGAATAAAGAAAATATGAAATTTTTTTACTAAAAGAATTTTAAATTTTTAAAATGGTATTAAATAAGGAAAATAAATTTGGAATTGGAATTAGAGTTTTTAAAATATTGGAAGTTTTAAGGCATATTTAATTTTTTAAACGGAGTCTGCAAATGAATAAATTTTTGTAAAACACTTTTAATTTTCTTTTAAATACTTTGGTCTTCGAAAAAAATTTTTTCAAAAATTTCTTGAGAGAATCTTTTTTTTCCGATCCATTTCTACTCATATTTCTAAATTTTTTCACATTTTATATCATTTCCTTATCAATTATACAAATTTTATTTCAATCTATCGAATTGTTTTTTTCATTAGAAAAAAATTTTGCATATTACTGTAAAAAAATATAAAATTATGAATGTTTTCAATTCTTCAAAAAAATTCGTGTAGAATTGTTCGGATGCCATTATAAGTGTAATTGAAAATTGAAAATCGCTTGATAACGAAGTTTAATATTTTAATATATTTAACATTTAAACTTTAGTATTTAATATTAACAAAGCTTAATATTAATATTTAATATATAATATTAATATTTAATATTTCTAAATTTCCTTTTTACTGCAATTTTTAATCGAATTTTTATAAAATTCATTTCTGCGTATTCTTATATTTAAGATTTATAAGGTTGTTTTATGAGCTACTTTATCTTTTCTAATATAGGATTTTAAATGGCTATAACAAATGCGTAGGTTTGTCCATTTCTTTTAACAAATTCAATTTAATCGTTATCAAATTCATATTAACAAATATGAATTTTAACAAATCTCTTTTTCATCGATAAAATAGACGAATTATCGTTGAATTTTTCATCCAGTATAAGCGATAATTTTTTTATTCTCAATTTTAAGCATTAAATTTTTGAGAACTGCGAAAAGAATAAATCTTTGTATTCTTTTATTGATTCACATCATCATTTTTTGAAACTGTATTTCTCTTTAATAAATATCTCATTAAATCGAATAATCTTTTTATAATGACTAAAAAGGACTAAAAAAATTTTGGACCTAAATTTGTCAGTTTTTATCAGCTTAGTGGGCTTGATATATGATAGCTGGATTATTAATAGATTTAACAAGATCCGAAATATTACTATATGAGTGTTGTTATACCATTATTACACCATTTTTTATTGCTATTTACATTATTATCATATTGTTATCATTGTTATTATTACTAATATTATCATATATTATTATTACTAATAATATTTATTTATTTATTTATTGATAACCAGCCAAGCAGGGCGACAACGCCATGTGCTTGTATTAATAATAACAATTAAGATAACAGAAAAAGAAAACACAAAAAAAAAATATAACATAAACAAAATTAATTATAAAACAATATGACAAAAATTAACAATTTAACGAGGAAATTGCAGATCAATATAATATAGTACAATTCGAAGTAACATCGATAAAATAGAGGAATTCGTTGAATTTTTCATCCAGTATAAGCGATAATTTTTTTATTCTCAATTTTAAGCATTAAATTTTAGATAAAATCGAGATTTCTCACTTCCTGCAGTTCTTGTCTGGTGTAAACTCTTTCTTTTTTTTTTGTTTTTAAATAATATCGTAAATGATATTATCTAGTCTTTTTTTAAAGACAGCTAAGGATGACGCACAAGCTACATCGTAATTTGTTCCAGTAGTTAATGGTACTAATAAAGAAGAAGAAGAAGAAGTCATGAGTCCTTAGTTTGGTTTCGCATATAGGTTTTAGTAATTTTAGTCCATTAGTTCTTGTTGGATTCAAATTTAGTCTAAAGTTATAATATTTCGAGCAATCTAGTTTAACATAACCATACAGAATTTTATATGTGTAAATTAAATCTTGTTTAATTCTACGAACTGAGAGAGAATCCATGTTATGTTGTAGAAGTTTTCTTTTATAATTTTATAATTTTATAATTCTTTTATAATTCTTTTATAATTATAATTTTTATTAGGAGAGAGGCGTCTTAGAAAATATTTTTGGAGTCCTTCGATTATTTTGCCTGTTTTGCGATGTCTAGGGGAGTAACATATAGTATTGTAGTCAAGAAGAGGCCGAACGAATGCTTTGTATAATTTGATAAGAAAACTTTCAGTTTTGTTCTTAAACGAACGAAAAATAAAATTTAGCATCCTTGAGGACTTCTTTACTATGGTTCTGCAGTGAAGATCGAAATCGAGATTTCCATCCATGATTATTCCAAGATCGGAGATGTGTGAGACTCTATTGATTAAATTACCATTTATAAAAAGGTTAGGAAGATCGAATCCTTTAGAATTGATGTGAAGAACGCTACATTTTTGAAAGGAAAGGGTAATTTGCCTGTCATATAGCCAATCAGCTATTCTGTTGAGGTCCTCCTGCAGTGGAGATAGGCTATCCGTTCTACCATGAGAATAATAAATTTTACAATCATCAACATAAAGATAAATAGTAGAATTTATTACCACTGTTGTGATATCATTTATATATAATAGAAATAGCAATGGCGCAATACAACTGCCTTGGGGAACGCCTGATTTAACAGGTGTCATGTCAGAAAGAGTGTTGTTAACATATACAGCCTGGTAACGATCTTTTATGTAATCTGAAACCCAGTTATAGAGGTCCCCTGTTATGCCATAACTATTAAGAGTGACCAATAATTTGCTATGGGAAACAGTATCAAAAGCCTTAGCCAAATCTAGGTACACAACTGATACTATTTTTCCATTGTCAATTGATGCTGACCAATCAGAGAGATTTGCCAATATTTGTGAAGAAGTAGATTTTTTTATACAAAAGCCATGCTGATAAGAAATAAAATTATTAGCATCAAGATAAGTAAGCAATTTGTTGCAAATCAACCTTTCAAGTACCTTGCTACCAACACATGTTAAGCTAATAGGTCTGTAATTAGAAGCGTCATAGGTGCTTCCTTTTTTATGAATGGGAACTATATGGGACAATTTCCAAATTTTGGGATTAAGGCCAGACTTCATAATATCTTTATAAATTAAAATATTGTTATTATAATGAATATTATTATTTTATTATTATTATTTAGCTATTTTATTATCATTATTTCTTATATATGATTATTTTTGTTCATTATTATTAATTTATTTGTTCATTTGAAGCAACCAAGCAAGGCAACAAACGCCGTATGCTTGCATCAATAATAACGACAACATAAGATGCCAAATGAAAGAAATTAGTGAAGCAGTGATAGCAACATTTAATTTTTTTATTACTTTATTCTAGCTTTCATCAGCAGCAAACCCTTCAAATCTGGGTGGCTGCTGTGTATCTCTGTAACTCTGAAAAGAGATATAATTTGAAATAATCAGACTATAAATCAATAAAATAATATAAAGAATTGTTGAATTTACAATTTTCTAAAAAATTTAAATGCTCATATAAATTATCAAAATGAATTCATTAAGACTATCAGTTTGAGTTGCGCAATGATAAATGAGTCGAATAATTTTTGGAAAGATTACTAAGAAAATATTAATAATTTGAAAAATTTTGAAAAAATGTTATTTTATATTAATTTGATTGGCAAGAAAAAAAATGAAATCAGCTATAATCATTTTCATTTTGATAATTTTTTGAGTGCGAATAAAGAAAATAAAAAAAGCTGATATCTCATGGAAATTTTAATTTTAAACATTGCGATTTTACTAAAATAACCTGCGATATTTGCGATGTTTTCATAAAGGAATCACAGTCTTCAGTTAAGTTTAAGGGTTGAAAAAATCAGCAAATTTACATATCAGCCGTCGTTTTTCTCTCTTATCACTAGAAAAATTAATAAGTTCCATAGACTCATTATATTTTTTCAAATATATTTTTTCTTGCTTATCATTATATGAAACAAATCAGTAGATGTTTTTCTAACAAATGAATGGAATAGGTATGATTTGACAAGCAAATGAAGTGGGATCTAATAAAATTTTAAATTTTTCTTTTATTTCGAAAGCTCAGTACAATTTCTTTTCATCTATATTTCATATTTCTATTGTTTTTGCTTCTTAAATTCAGCTGTGAAAAGATTCATTCATAATTGTCCTCAATTCAGTAGTGAATTTTTCCTGAGAATTTGGAAAAGGAAAAAAACACGCAAACCCCTGTTGCATCTTTTTGGCATATGATTACGATGGTTAATATTCC